AACTCCATTACTCCTGCTGCAATCCTGAACCTATAAACTATTCAAACCCTCAAGATGGAAGAAGGAGGAACTATCCAAAAGTCTAGAGATGATGACATGAGAAGGCCAACATCACATCACACCACACAACAAACGAGCAGGCTCCCTCTGCACATGACATTCAGCTGCACGAGGATTTCCACTGAAGGTGACTAGCAAGGGTGTGTTGTACAGCTAGCAAAGTTTTTACTTTGTCTATGCACAGCAAGTGACAAATCCAAAACAATAATGTATATTTGCTGATTTAAGAAACCACAGCCAACAATGTAAAACTAGGAGATCAACAAAGACACTTCCTTCCATAAACTATGCACAGTGGTTTACCAAACTAGCAGTGTGATTGCACTGTAGATTTAGAAGTAAATAGTTTATTGAATGGAAGAACTATTACCCCAAAACAGCAAATCCTCAAAGAACATGGGCGTTCACAACAGTCAGCCAACTAATTTCCTGATGTGATGCTGCAACCAACAACTAAACCTGTTATGCCATAATCTAGATATATCTATGTATACCATAATCTAGATATATCTATACATAATCTATCTAAATGAAATTTTATATAACATTCTTCATTTCAGCAGAATCACCCAACCTAAGAACTGGAAATCAAAATTTCATCTGGAAAAATCTAACTTGAAAGTCTGACTTTCAGCAGTGATAAATCATCACCAGAATGAACCACAAAATTCTATACTATATTCTCTTCCAATATAAACTTTTATCAGAAAGAAAGAGCATTTTCCAAGGAGAGATGCTCAAGTTTGAATTAACTCCCCTGAACTAATGCTTAAGCCTTCTATTATGCAGAAAACCATATTAAGTGACAATATTAACCTGATAATCTAGTTATACTTCTTTTTTTTAAGCCTACAGTTACTGAATATATACACACAAGTATATATGCTATACAAGTATATACACACACACATTTTATATATATGTAATATATATTTGTTCAGTAACTGTAGGCTAAAAAACAGTCTTAGTAACTGCATGGTTATACTGTTTTTACAAGCTCTTAATGTATATAGCCTTTGAGCAAGGTTAGCTTTTTAGAGTTGTTTGTACTCAACTTGTATGTCCATGAGGTTCTAGATAAGAAAACTTGCTTATCACAAGAAAAGAAGGTAAAACAAGCCAGAAAAAGCAAGACAGCTTCAAAGTCCAAGGAGAACAAATTCCAAACTGCATCTGCATTTATTTATATAAAAATATATATAAAATATGTAAGTAAATAAAAGGCAACATGGCTAATCCCAAGAAGAATAAAGACTCTTGCAAAGCAACAATGCTTTAACCAGCCTCTACTCCTGACTTACCCAAATGCTGCAGATATTGCACTGTCCTCTCATGACCTTTCAAAGGTGAGTTGGCTTTCTTCGACTGATCCACTAGTACCTGTAATGCTTTCAGAAAAACAAAAAGGTTAATTCTATTGTAACCAGGTCAGTACTACTCCCACTTCAACCATAAAAAACCTATTTTTCCTGTTCCGCTACAGTCAGAGAACAAAAAGAAAGTTTTGTTTTAAATATACAGGCAGGAACAAAGGAACAAAGACAGACTTCACCATGAGAAAAATCCAGAGACAAAGCACCTTCTGAATTCTGCCTGCTCAGACAAATGAAAACTCAGACTAGGATTGCATGTGCCTATTCTTTCTCTTCTCCCCACACCAACCCCATACCTACCTTTCTCATGAAGGCCCTTCTTCTCATACAGTATTATCAGCTCACTGTATTTGTGTGCCTTCTTTAGTACATGTTCACTCTCTTCAATGTGACAATGGTTGTTCTCCAGACGCAGCAGTGGTGCCACCAGCGCTACATTTGTCTGGAAGCAAGAATGAAAGCAAGAATGTAAGCTCTTGCTCACATTTGTCTAGTGTGAATCTAAACTCATGGAACCTTCTCCCTTTTAGCAAGAGCCCAGAGAAAAATGCAAGTCTTCTAGCACAAGGCGGATCAAGCTAACACCTTCAAGCAAGTCCTGTACACTTTCATCATTTGCTGAAGCAGAAGAAAACAATATATTTCTTCTCTAATAGAGGCCAGCTTTGAAAACCACCTTGGCAGCAAGGTTTGACAAGAAGCAGCTGCACAAAATGGACGTGCCTACTTAGTTCCTTGAAATTACTTCCTCATCAGTGAGTAAAGCTAAGACCATAAAAAGGCTAAACGACCTGTGAAACTTTAAGACAGTTCCTTTAAAGTGAGACAATTTCATGAGAACTTCTAACTTAGCTTCTTATGCTGCTCAAAGTGTTTCAGTCTGCACTTCTGACAAAGTTTCTATTACAAAGCAAAGACCTCTAGGGCACACAGAAACTCACATGGAGGTAACACTTTAACAGAGTGGTATCAATGATTTGTAGCAGCTTCTTTTTGGATTTGATCGTGGGGGTTCCTTCCATGAGGGGTGAGGTACTGGACTGGTGGTCAGAATCATTTAGCTTCTTTACCAGATGACTTCTCTTCTGTAGGACATTAAAATGAAATTTTAGCAGGAAGAGTCCACAGATTTCTCTATAGTATTCCCAGAAGATAAGTTACTAAATTATTTTTATTTAGTCTCTTTATTTTATCAATGTACTCTTTTCAACCATATGCAGGCATACAAAACTTATAAAAATTGCAAAATAAAAATGCGAGATTCCCAGAGTCTTGAGAAAACAGGTAGCAGGAAATTTGCTTAACTCAAACAGAGATATTTTAAAGAATTCAGAACATTTAAAATATTTGAAACATAACTGACATTTTGAATTACTGTGCACACACAAAAAAGCCTACTTAATACAGAAGCTTCCTTTTGGTTATTCAAAAAGACACCAAAACAATTCAAGAGCTCAAGCTCACTTCAGAGGACTAATAAAAATAAAACAATGCATCCAGATTCAGATCTGTTTTGCCCAGTCCTCCCTGCCACATGTGGTGTCCTCCCCATTTCCAGGGCACATTTCACACCTTTATTTCTCCCGCAGGAGCTGCTGTCACAGAGTTTCCAACTAGGAAGATAACCCATTAAGGCTGGCCTGACAGAAATGACATGCACTGCTCCTTGTGCAAGAAGGTAAAGTGAAAATAAACCAACAGAGTACGTCAAAACTGAGTAACACTGCTCTAAAAGCTGAAGCAGCACTCACTTGAGTTAGGTAGTCTATGAGAGCCAAGTGTGCCCGCTCCAGCTCTGCCCCAGAGAGCCCTGGCAGCGGGTTGGGATACTGCAGCTGTTTTCTGTAATCAGTGGGCAGGAGATCAGGGTAAAGACCCATCACATGAGTGGGATCTAAGCAAACAGAAACAAAAAATAGTATTAGTAACTGTGTATGGCAAATCGTTTCTAAAAACTCTTAAAGCCGCTGAGCAAGGTAAGCTTTTCAACTGCGTTGCCTGTATCCGGCTACTATCACCATGAGACTCCAGACAAGAGAACCTGCTTATCACATGAAAAGAAGGTAAAACAACCAGAAGAAGCAAAAGAAGGACAGTTTCAAAGTCCAAGGAGAACAAATTCCAAACTGTATCTGTCACACTTGCAGGAAAGCCATTATTATAATCCTTTTATTGCTCTTTTGCAGAGCCCCAGCATTAGCAACTTTGATAGCAGGACAGAATTTCTAGGAACAGGCACTTATTTTAAGAAAAGATTTATGGAGCTTTCAAACAGAAGACAAGGAAATGAAGAGCCACCCATTAACTAAGGAGTATCCATTTTCATGGAGTTTAAGCAACTTCAAAACGGTTGTCCTCAAATTTAAATTCAAAGTATTTTCAGTTCTCAGTCTTTCTCTTTCATCATAATATTCTGAAGTAAATATGATGCTAAGTACCATCCAGAAAAGCAGGTTACATATTTTGGATTACTAATAGCTCTAGGTTCAAATGCAAAAATACTCATGGTCACCAACAAAAGCATGGCAATATTAAGCACTGTTCTATGGTACAGTCCACTCTTCCAATAATTCTGCTGTGAACCAGAGGAAAAGCAGATTCTATTTTGACTTTCATAACCACATATGGCTCCTAGCTTCAGCAGACTTGTCCAAACAGGAAAGAATTGACATTTCTAGTTTTCTTTGCTCAGAGTCCAAGGATTTAGCGAATCAACAGATGTTCCCTATTTTTTTATTCCAAGTTGCATCTAGATTTTTGTTCCCTGCTGAAACCTTCAAACTTCAAGGGATTGTGTACATGGTATGCAAACAGCAAAACAGACTGCACAAAGAAAAAAAAGCATGATTTAAGCTATATAACTTCAGTTCAAGTGAAGTACCATAAAAGAACCATGAAGAACCATGAAAGTACCATGAAGAAAGAATAAACAGCGGCCTAGGGTACTCCTAATTTACAGGGAGCCAGTCTGCCAAAGGCAACAGCTTTTTTAAAAGCTAAAAATAAGAGTCTGTTAACTTCATTTCATCTCTCCCAACCCAGTCTCTTAAGACCAGTCCAAGCATTTACCTGTACCAAGCTTTGCAAAAACTTGCATGGATTCATCAAAACGCTTCTGACAGAAGAGATTGAAGGCAAAGAGGTTCTTGATGTGATGAATTTGCTGTCTCTTCTCACTGTCTGAATCATCTTTCATTTCCTGCACAAACACAAATTGAAGACTACTGAACACTCTCAGGGATCAGAGGTGAGAATGAAACACTACAGAAATAACAAGAGTATTGACCTTTGAGTAAACTAAGAAATCCCTAAGTTTGACACATGCCAAAAAGCATAACCTGCATGTCAAGCCAATTCTCAAATATTATGTTCACTGTACTACTGACATAATCCAAAAGGTTTGAAAGGCTACCTCCCATTACCTATATATTCACTACTGCAGCACATCTACTGATTTGCCTTTAAAGGTGGTTTTCAGAATGGCAATGCAAAATAAAATTTATGTTAGTGAAATCCCCAATAATTTTTGGGGGGAAAAAACCCTGAAATCAAATCCTAAACAGTACGAGTAAAGCAATCAAACATACTGATTCACCATCTGTAAGAAAAGATAATGTTTCAGAAATAACATGGAGGACATTCCTGGTTATCTTACAAAAGAAAACAGCACACAAGCCCCAATCAAAACTGCTTACAAGTAGTCTGAAGACTTGAAAGCCCAACTGACTTAAAAAAAATTACAAGGAGGCAACTGACCAGACATGTGGGAGGTGTAAAGTTTTGCACAAAAGAGGAAGCTCCAAAACTTAAAACCCACAATGGATCAATACGGAAAACTGACAATAAAAAAAGATAGAAACATAAGAGTCAAAACCCACTACAGTTTGTCAGCTTGTGCAAAGCAGACAGCATGGAGGCTAAACTCTCTGGACTAGCTACAGTCAAACAGGAGGCAGACATCATACTGAGTGCTTCTGCGCAGCTACAAAAAGCACATTCCACCTCAAACTGAAAGGATAAATACTTACTGCCAACTGTAGCGCCAGTTCAAACTGCTTGTCTTGGAGAAGTTGCTGGATCTGTGTTGCTATGGAGACTGGAATGAGCCGCCAAACAAAGTGATTACTTGCCACATATATAATATTTGTGCTGGAAAGAAGACAAAAGGTCAGCTACCAAGTTCTAGCACTAAGAAGCAATATCTCATCTGAAATGAACAGTGCTTGTTAATACACATGCTGCACACCCAGCTACAAGGGGAACTCAAGCAATACTGCAGAGCACAAAGGAGAAGACATCTCCAGCGACTCCAAATGACCAAGGACCCTTAGCTCTACAATCTGCTTCTCAGGGTCCAGACACTACCCTTGTGCTCACAAAAGATAAAGGACTTCAGCACTACCTCTTAAGCCAGGGGAGTCAGAAAACCTGTTCCTTTCTCACAAATAGATTTTCAAAGTACTACCACACTCAACAGCTCAAAATCAGTAATGATCAGCTTTACAAAATACCCTCCAGATGTAATGAAGCGTGGTCTCTGCAGCTCAATGCTCTGCACCAGCAAACGAGGTTCAAAAGTGCGGATCTCCACATATCTTGGCAGAACAGCAATAATATAAGGAGGCTGATGCTCTGTGTGTGAAACAGATCAAATATTTAAGTTAATCTTTCTCAAGTTCACCTTGAAATGATCCATAACTCAAAGCAAGAGTTAAACTATGTTTTTCCCTTGTAAAAAAAAA